ATAGGAAACAATATCTTCTTTTTTGAATAGTTCTTACTTTTGTGCTTACACACTAAGAGACATCACCCAACTCCAATTGATACTGATCCTGAACTTCTCCCTATCGAGTCTGAATATAGGGGGAAGTCAAGACCCTGTATGTCAGACACTCTCTGGACAACGTTTGTTCCTACCTCCAACCCCACATGTCTCTCACCAGTCCCCTGGGACTTACAGCACCTTTGTTCCAATCTGAGCTTTCTCCACGACAGGCTGTAGCTGCACGTTTCAGCACATAGACACCAACTCCCACCTGCCATACTTGGGAATCAAGCTATACGCAGACACAGAAGGATGTTTCTTAATTGCCAAAAAAGAAAAACCAAATGCAGGCAGAGTTTAATAAAACATAAAACACACATCTCTGCTGCATATGAAGCCCAACTTCCCTCATCTGCAGTCCAATTTCCATAGCAGAGATGGCCTTATACCAAAGAAAATCACATTTTCTGTCAAGCAGAGATCCCAAGAACTCCCAGAGCACTCCCTGACCCAGACTCTGTCCATTTTCACTCCCATCTACTCACACCTTCAAGTCATGAGCTCCCTCGATTCACAGAGGGAAGAAAAGAATCAAAAGAAATGAATCACCCTCTTTTGCACAGCCAAATCTGCACTCATCCAAGTTTATCTGGGTTACAGGTGCATCTTCAGGTAGGCTCTGCAACATCTAGATCCACTCATTTCTCTTTCTCGTCCAACACGCGACAGCTCGGGTGCAATTGTCCAGGCTTCCTCTTCTACTCAAGGAAGAGAAATGAGTTGTCTCGACTGAGATGCTTTGGTTCACCCTGCATGTCCACAAGCTCCCCCTCCAGAAAGTCTCCCTTCAGCCCAGGGTCATATTTCCCTGTCCCATGTCAGGGTTTCATGTACCCTCATGTATCTTGGAGGTGGTGACCACCACTTTGTGATCAACTGCATCAACTCTGGAGTGAAGATATTAGGCAAAAGTTTAACCATTTGCAGAAAAGTCTTTGGTGCAATCAGTGTGTAAGGGGAGTTCATTTTCAGAACTTTGACATTGTTCTCTACATTCCCGTAAATATTTTCATAGGCCATGGACAAGGACCAGCAACCTGATGACACTTTCTCTCCCCTATGTATAGACAGATTGATAAATCTGATTCTTTTGGACAGGTGACATTTGAGTCTGCTCAAGTAGCCCCTGATTTCATTCCTATCCACCTTCGGCTGTTTTCCTCCAGATGCCTGCCCTGAGGTACAATGGCTTAGGAGAACTTAGAGAAAGATGAGGCAAAGAGGACATGAAATATCTCATCTCTCTTGCCATCTACATGTGATAGAAATAGGACAGTGAAGTGCAGTCCTGGGTAGATTCAGGTTTATTTTACTGCTGTCTTCTCTGCTAGGGAGGGACATCATTGGATGTGGAGGTGATCTCCATGAACAACTAGGTTCTGCTGACAGGCCTGGTGTGAAAATTGTTGGTCATTTCCTTGACTGCATCTTCAAGAGGTTGGGTACTGTTTGTTGGAGATAAAACCCAACAGTCTGAGAAGATAAACACTTGTGTGGAGACTGCGGATTGATGTGCCTTTTGTTCCTGGACTGCTCTCCATCTCCTGGATAGAGAAGGGACAGACCTTGCCACACTGCAGTGGTGGCAGTCAGTGTCTTGCGCAGCAGCCCCGAATCTGTCTGCAGTGCTGTGCGGGGGGTCTGTCACAGCCCCGATCTGGAGGGAGATTGCTTGCATGTATAGACCCAGTGCAGTCTCATCCAACCCCATGGAGCTGTGTGCGAGAGCCTTGGCACCTCACGTAACACTGGAAGCCCCTGTTTGGCATTAAACAGCATAAATGTCCTAAGATTGGTGAAGCAATTTGGAGGTGTTCATGAGACCACTGTTGTGGGGATCAAGTAAATTCAGCTGATGGAAAAGACAAGAGAGAAACTGAGCTCTCCCAAATGTACATGACTCCATTTGCTCAGAGGAATCCTTGCACAGGCTGCCCGGAACAAAACAGACAGTGGCAGAGTCACTTGTACTAAATGTGGGCATCTGCTGTCATTGCTGTTGGCCAAAGATGTTCCCCTTCAGACTCCAAGAAGATGAACCCAGATGCTGTCCTGACTCTCAGCACTGCTCCATTGGAGCTTGCAGTCTTCTGCACATTTCTTGGAACACCTCCTGACCCTCAGATATCTCTAACTGTGTCTGAACAGCTCACTCCTGATCTCCATCTCTATCATGACCTGAGATGACAAAAGGAGTTCAGCTACAGGTGCCTCCCAACAAGAGCCATATGTAATGATAGAACAGTAAAGACTGATAATAGGAATCAAATTGGAATTTGGTAGGAGAAATGACAGTGCTGGAAAGTAGTGCCTCTGCCAGCTGAGGGAAGAATTATGAGTGATTGCATCAGGCTGTGTCACAGCAGGTTCCCTGCAGCTCCAGGGACAGCTGGAGGGAGGCCAGAGGGGCCACAGCAAGTGGCACCTTGGGCTGTTGCTGTGGTGCTGAGCTGGGCCGGGCTCCTGGGCCGGAGGGAGCTCCTGGCAAGTGGGCAGCGCTGCAGAGAGACAGCTCTGCCCAGGAGCAGTTCCTCTGCAAAGTGCAGCAGGGCTGAGGGCACTGCCTGCAGGCACCCAGGGCAGAGCAGCGAGGCACACACAGCTTCAAGGCAGCCTGGGCTGGGAGGCTGCTGAGAGCTCCGAGGAGGAGAAAGCGTCAGGGCCCTGGCCACAGTAAGTCTGGGGGTGCAGGGCAATGCAGCTGCAGCTCGGGGAGGGATCTGGGGAAGGCGGCAGAGCCGCCAGGAATCTGCCTCCTGCCTAGAGGAGGAGGAGGAGGAGGAGGAGGAGGAGGAGGAGGAGGAGCTGCTCCCTGAGCAGGGCTTCCCTGGTGCCCCCTGCGAGCGCCAGGGCATGAGGGCTGCCTTCTGGCGGGGCCGGCTGCAGGGGTGTGCAGCCGGGTGTGCAGGCAGGGGTGCCCAGGGCTGTCCTTCCCAGCAGGGTCCCTGCACCCCAGGGGGCTGTGTGCTGGGGCAGGGACTCTGCCGCCTGCCAGGGTCAGCACTCAGCCTGCCCGGGGAGCTCCCCATGGCGCTGTGGGGAGAAGCTGTGGGGGGAAGGAGAGACCCCCGCCAGGGCAGGCTCCTTCTGCTCTGCAGAGGCTGCTGCTGCGTGGATCAGGGATGCTCATAGCTCCAGATTATTCCCAGCTCATTTCCCAGGGAACTTGTCACAAGTACTTTCATCTCAGAGATATTCTGTTTCTGTCTGTTCTTTCTGGACTCTCTGCTTCTACTTTTCTGTGGCCTCAATCTTTCTATCTCTATCAGCTGTGCAGATGAGAGCGGGGGCTGAAATTCTTAAGCTGTAACAGTGAGGTTCACTAGGAACCTCAGCAAGTGCCTTCATGCCCCAGTAGCCCACAGAACACACCAGCATCACCTTTCCATTTTCATCAGGTTTGGGTGGGCTGTGCTTTTACCCCTGTACACACGGAGTGGCTGCATGGCAGAGCTGTGCTCACAGGGGCTGGGGTGGGGACTGTGAGCACTGGCAGGGAGGAAACATGGGCTCAAAGACAGAACTGCCAGCCTGGACAGCTGGAGGCAGTGGAGACGTGGGCAGGGAGGGAGGGAAATGCTAAGGGAAACCCTGCTGCAGGGCAGACTCCTTCCCTGAGCAACACTCCTCTTGTCTCCTCTGCCACCCAGCACAGCCCTTAGCCCGTGGCTCCTGGCCGTTAGTCACCTCCTGGCCCAGCAGCCCAGCAGAAGGGATGAAGTGCATCTCTGCTGCCAGGGGCCCAGTTCCCGCTGAGCAGGGCCTGAGGGCGACTGTCCTGCATTGCTGCTGTCTGGGAGGGGCTGTGCAGAGCTGGCAAAGGGAAAGGCTTTCCTGAGTGCCCGTCTGTCCCTCTCCTTGCCTTGCTCAGATGCCCTTGGTGTTGCTGACAGGCTCTCGGGGAAGGGGGGTTTCAGCTGCAGAGTCAGGCACAGAGCTTGTGAGCCCTCCTCTGCAGATGTGCCCCCAGCAATGAGGTGTCCCAGCTTTCCTCTAAGCCGTGAAGCTCTGGGAAATGCAGTCTGTGAGGCTGGGCCAGGATGCTGGCTCTCCCTTAAGAATTTTCCATGGTTCAGACCCTTGGCTCTCTCCTTGGGGTGTCCATCCCAGCTGTCTGCTGCTTCCAGGGGACTCTGTGAGCCGTGGGTGTCATTGGCTAAAGTGGGGTGCTGAGACTTGGAGAAAGGGTGAGTCATTTGGCGCTCTGCAGTGGATCCCTCTGCTCTCAGCTGTGTCTGGTTGCTTTTCAGATTAACATGTGCTTGTGAAGGCTCTCAGACTCAGAAAAATGCAAGTCCAGGGCAGCTGGGAACAAGACAGAAAGACAGACCAGCTGCTCTCACTCTGCACTAAGGCACAGAAAATCCTCTTGCCTCACACGACTCACTCTGCTCTCCCTGAGTGCAGCAGAAAACCCTCTCAGCCTGTCTTCTGCTTTCCCCATTCCTCACCACTGGTAGAGCAAATGCTGACAAGCCCTTCTGGGTTAGGGCAGGTTTTTCTGACAGAGTCACACAAAGATCTCACTCCTTGGCAGACAGCATGCAAAAACCCTTCCCCTCATGAAATGCTTGTCCAGCACCTACCACAGCTCCAGCTACAGAACTGAAGGAAGATCTCAAAAAAGTGGGGTGCCATGTAGTGACAGGGATGGAATAAGGACAGCGGTGTTGATATTTATAGGAGAAATATACCCTAATGTGTTGTCATCTTTCCTCCTTGAACAGGCTCATATGTCCAGACAAAGCAAATGTTAAATAACAGATCCATCACCCACTTCCTCCTCCTGGCATTTGCAGACAGACGGGAGCTGCAGCTCCTGCATCTTCTGGCTCTTCCTGGGCATCTACCTGGCTGCCCTCCTGGGAAACGGCCTCATCATCACCGCCATCGCCTGCGACCACCACCTCCACACCCCCATGTACTTCTTCCTCCTCAACCTCTCCCTCCTCGACCTGGGCTCCATCTCCACCACTCTCCCCAAAGCCATGGCCAATGCCCTCTGGGACACCAGGGACATCTCCTATGTGGGATGTGTTGCACAAGTTTTTCTCTTTGTATTTTTGTTACCATCAGAGTATGTTATTCTCACAGTCATGGCCTACGACCGCTACGTTGCCATCTGCCAACCCCTGCACTATGGGACCCTCCTGGGCAGCAGAGCTTGTGTCCACATGGCAGCAGCTGCCTGGGGCACTGGGATGCTCTATTCTCTCCTGCACACAGCCAACACATTTTCCCTACCACTCTGCCAAGGAAATTCCTTGGACCATTTCTTCTGTGAAATCCCCCAGATCCTCAAGCTCTCCTGCTCAGATTCCTACCTCAGGGAAGTTGGGCTCCTTGTGGTTAGTGTCTGTTTAGGATTTGGGTGTTTTGTTTTCATCGTGCTGTCCTATGTCCAGATCTTCAGGGCCATGCTGAGGATCCCCTCTGAGCAGGGACGGCACAAAGCCTTTTCCACGTGCCTCCCTCACCTGGCCGTGGTCTCCCTGTTTGTCAGCACTTCATTTTTTGCCTACCTGAAACCCCCCTCCATCTCTTCCACATCACTGGACCTGTTGGTGTCATTTCTGTACTCGGTGGTGCCTCCAGCAGTGAACCCCCTCATCTACAGCATGAGGAACCAGGGGATCAAGGATGCACTGAAGAAGCTGATTCAGTCAGTTTTCTCTCACCAGCAATAAACTGCCTTTGTTTCTTCAGAAGTGATTCAAATTAATCTCTGAAACCTACTGTACATTGAGCATTTTATCTCTCTAAATCTTTTTTTTTTCTGTAAATATCTGTAGTCAGTCTTATTCTTCAGAGATATGAACCAGCCTCTCTGACAGAGAGGCCTTTTGCATGTGTCTGGTAGGACATTACATCTGGTCTCTCATGCAGCATAACCATAATAAAAGGGGATTTTCTTAGTACCGATGTCTGGAGGTTGGTCTCTTCTTCTCAAGCTGAGGTCAGGAACAGGCTGAAGGAATTGCCCCTCTGAGCGTGCTGCTGTGCTGGGGTTCTCCAGGGGTTCAGGGCAGGAGGGCATGGGGGGATGTGTTGGGGAATAGGCCTGTGCTGCCCCTTCACGTGGGGGTGCCCAGTGCAATGGCAATGATGGCTGATCCATGGGGATCTCCCTGGGACCATCTCCCCGTGGCTTTCAGCCACCACTGCCCTGCAGAGCAGCACCGCCAGCTCAGGGCCGTGCCTGAGGTGACATCCCGCGACAAGAGCAGACCTATTTCTGGAGGCACCAGTTTGGGCAGCTTTTCTCTCGCTGGCACAGCAGGAGCTGCCTGGGGATCCCCCAGTGCAGGAGTCTTGTGCTGGGGAGAGGGACGGGCACAGAGGGGCTGCCAGCACTGGGCAATCAGGATCTCTTGGAGAGAAGAGCAGCAGAGAGAGAGGAGACGCTGGCCTGCGTCTGCTCATGGCATGGCTGGCCCCAGCCCTGGGGCTGATGGGGAGGCTGAGAGCCCTCTGTGCCCCAGGAGCTGCTGTGACCTTCCGAGGGGCTGGGGCTGTGGGGTGAGTGCCCAGAGCTCTGCAGCACCCTGCGCTGGGCAATGCCATGGGACCAGCCAAGACTGGGCTGTTGTTCTGGGCTGGGCTGGGGGGAGGGAGGTGCAGATGGGGAGTGCTGGGGAGGGGCTGATGAGAAAGTGCCTGGGAGAGAATATGCCATTGCACAGCTTATACTGTGTGAGCGTGTAGAGTGAGCACTCACTCCAGTGGATGAATTGTGTGGAGCCAGGGCTCGTAAAAAAGATGAAATACATGCAGGTGCAGGAGAGAGGGTGCCAGTCTGAGCTCTCGGTGGCCTGGCCAGACTGGGAAGGTGTCCCAAGACATTTGTCACCCCCCAGCCTTTCTCAATGACCATTTCCAGAACTGGCTGCTCACCCAGGTTTATGTGAGAGTCTGGCTGCTAAACCATCTCCATCCTTCTGCTGATCACAATTCCTGTATGGGGAGACCGGCCAGCCCTGCCTGGCCTCTATCCTGGCCCCGATCCCAGCAGAGTAAAGAGAAGGGCGATCTGTAAAGCCCCATGTTGGACACGGCTAGGGCTGGGAAAGGGTCAGGTACTGGGTTAAGCTGCAAATCTCATGTTATGGGGTTATATCTTGTTGGAGTTAACGTGGGACACTGAATTGAGTACTCTCACTGGCATCATAATGGGGGGAACTTCCCAAACACCTGAATGTACCAGCAATCCCATGACACTTTCTCTCCCTCTTTATAAATCTATACTCACACAGACATTTCTAAAATATGTTTCCTATGAACGCTTTTAATGGTGAACTTCTAAACAGGACATGTTTCTATTAAGACATTTAATGTATTCATTTCATCTAAACAGAACTGAGAGAAATGGAGGCTGAAGAGGTTAGATAGACCCCAGTAGTATTTATTTGCTATCACAAAAATAAAGAATTGGTAGCATTTCCATCATATCTTCCCTGTGTTTGAGCTGGCTGAGTCCTTCTAGGGTGTAAAATTACAGAACTTCAGGGCACTCCAAGTGCCAGGCCCCAATGGACACACAGAGGTCCAGAGCACAGCCAACAAAAGGAAATGTCCTTCCTATCTGATAACCTGATAAACTTCTCCAGTGACTGACTGGCTTGATAGAGGAGTAGAAATTGTCCACCTGGACTTCAGGAAGGCTTTTGACACTGTCTCCCAAAAAATCCTCATCGAAGAGCTGGTGAAGCAGAGGCTGGAGAAGCAGACAGTGAGGTGGTTGAAACCTGGCTGAACGGCTGAGCCCAGAGAATGGTGGTCAGTGGCATCAGGTCTCGATGGAGGCCGGTCACCAGTGGGGCACTACAGGGGTCAATACTGGGTCCAGTCCTGTCCCTCCAAACCTCAACTTTACTGTAATTTGATGGTCCTGTGACATCCTTTCTTGGAAATCAGTGCCACCGGGCACCTCTCTGAAGTGCCAGTGCACTGATATGCGGGGCGTGCAGAAGGAGGAATTAGACGTCTGTGTGTGGTTCCAGTGGGCTACAGGCTCATGTGGAGAGCAGCGTGGGTGTGAGATAGCACACAGCAGGAGCGCGGGCAGGGACGGACAGGCCTGTAAGGCAAGGAGGGGTGTTGGAGAATGGCTCAGAGACAAGGGTCCTGAGCCCACCGAGCAATTGTATGATCAGAGCCTGCTCTAGCTGCTGATGCTGGGCCTCACTAGGGTTTGCCTGCAGCTGCTCGCAGCTGCTGATACATGAAGAATGTCAAGGACGCTTCAGCCCTGTGTACCGTGGTGTGTCGAAAACAGGTTAAGGGGAATTAGGAATAGTGGTCTGAGAAACCTAGTGTTATGATAACGGTGGTCTGAGAAACATTGTGTTATGGTACTGTCGTGTATCGAAAACAAGTCAAGAGGAATTAGAAATAGTAGCATGAGAAACTTAGTGTTATGAGAAGCTTGTGCTGTTAGCTAACTGCAAGTAGGTGGACCGTGCGAATACGACCTTTAGAGCTTAAGCCAATCAGCTAGTGACTAGTAGGCATAATTAGTAGAAGGATTATAAAAGGCTGTAACGAAAATCAATAAAATGAAGCATGCTTTATCACTCATATTGAGTCGGCTGCGTTCTTCCTCCTTTAGCCTGGGTCCTTGGCATGTTGGTTATGACATCCCTAATGGCGTGGCACTCCTGCCCTATGATGTCAGTCGTGTCTCCGCCCCCCCAGTCATGGTGGCCAAGAAGAGGAAGCTCTTCAACATGGATGAGCATTTTGTGGGGCTCTGAGTCCTCTGAATCCTCATTTTGGAAGGGGCTACAGGGTCCCATGACCGTCCTCCCCCCAGATAATTTGAGGGGGGGTTTCCAATGTTTGAACCACAAGCCCCCCTTTGTGGTGGTCTACAGTGTTTCCTGCCACCCCAATTATTTTGGAGAGGACCCTGGAGCCCCTCCAAACCCCCATTTTGTAAGGGCTGGAGGTGGCACTTAATGCTTCCCCTAAATAATTTTTTGGTTCCCCCCAATCTGTCTTCCATTCTGTCGGGTTGTTGAGACCTCTGAGCCATCCTCAACCTCCCATTTTGGGGTCCATGTCTCCCCCCAGTTATTTTCGGGGTGGTTTGGTGTTTCTCCCCCCATATCCTACATTTGGGGGGGGGAGTTAGAATATGAGTCCCTGAAAACCCCTATTTTGGGGGGTCTAAAGCATGCCCTGGTACCTCTGAAATTAATTAGGCATAGTTTCTGCTTTCCCGATTTTGCCGCAACTGAGAGGCGGGACGCAGCTTGATGCAAGCTGAGTGTCCGATTTATTATGATTCTTCACATACTTTTATACTAGTTCCTAGATAGCATGTTACAAACTAATTGGTTTCTTTAAAGCATGCCAAAGATTTATTGGCTTACATTCTACATTAGGCATTCACAAATTGGCTAATGCTAAAGGCTTTTTTCTAAACATTAATTGCAACAGTCCTACCTACAAAAACAATAACTCCCAGTTACAGGACATCTGTTCCACAGCGCCTAATCTTAACACAAACACCAAGTCAGCACCCCCTGTTCCTCCTACACTAAGTTCTTATCTTATTCTTTCCAAGGCCTGTGGCTGACAAGTTCCAGCACTTCTCCTTCTATCAATTGTGCAGTGCTGGGGGTTTTGCTGAGAGCAACCAAGCCCTGCCCCACAGAATCTTTTCGTTCTTACTCCAAGTTCTCGTTGTCCTCTGGACAGTTCATATCCCAGGTAGGTCACTTGCTGCTGTACCATCTGAGCTTTCTGTTGAGACACTCAATATCCATTTAATCCAAGAAAATTCCGTGAGTTTACAGTCCACTGAATGCATTCAGATTTAGTCTCTGTTGCTATTAGAAGGTCATCAACATACTGCAGGAGGGTTCCATTGTTTGAAGGGACTTGCCACTTTTTGAGATCTCGTGCCAACTGCTTCCTAAATATCGTTGGGCTAATTTTAAAGCCCTGAGGTAACACTGTCCATGTAAGCTGAGTTTTCCTACCAGTGGTGGGGCTCTCCCATTCAAATGCAAACAATTTCTGACTTTCTTTGTGTAAGGACAGACAGAAGAAGGCATTCTCTAAATCCAGCATGGTAAACCATGTCTGGCTATCCCTTAACTTTTTAAGTAAGGTATATATGGATTAGCAACTACGGGTCATAAGTCTTTAGCAATTTTGTTAATTTCCCTTAAGTCTCGTACTACCTGGTATGAACCATCTAGTTTCTGTACTGGGAGTACAGGGGTATTGTATTCTGACTCGCATTCTATAAACCACCCATACTTTAGAAATTTATTAAATGGACCCTCAATTCCTTTGTAGTCCTTCAGTCTCAAAGGGTATCGCCTCCTCCGTACCAGTCCCTTTCCTTCTTTAAGTTCTATTACTCTAGGGGATGCATTCTTGGCTTTCCCTGGAATCCCAGTAACCCACACTCCTGGACAGGCCTGACAAATAATTTCTTGAACTGCCGGTGTCAATTTCTGTGTCTTTTCTGGATTCATCAGAGCTAGACTAAGTACCTCTATTAACCTTTGATCCCCTACTTTAAACTCCATTTTCCCTTTCCGCTTAAAAGTAATTTCTGCTCCCAATTGCTCTAATAAATCTTTCCCTAATAAGGACTCAGGGGAATTTGGCAAATAGAGAAATCAATGCATTCTGATCTGCTTTGCCATTGTATACATAAGGGGTCTTGAAAAGAATGCCTTTTCCTGTTGGCCGGTGACTCCCACTACATTTACAAAATCGTTGCTTATGGGTGCTAATTCTTGATTAAGGACAGAAAAGGAAGCACCTGTGTCAATTAAAAATTCTACATCCTTTTCCTGCCTCCCCTGGCTTAATGTTAACCGGGGGACCTGCTAAGGTCGATGCGCCAGGTCCCCATCAATCCTATGTCCCCATTCCTGCTACTAGAACTGGTGGGGCAGAGGGGCATTTCAGCTGCTGACACCCCACATTGCACGAAGGGTCCAGAGTGGTATATTTTCTCATGGCCGCCCTTAACTGGTCCAAAAATTCTGTCAGAGTTTCTTTTGACCCTTGTTTGACAGTGTAAAGCGCTGACCACTTAATGGCTTTCAGGATTGCATTGTCTATCCCCACTTTAATCCAATTTCTATATCTCCATAACATTCTATAGTCATTTCCATCGTTTGGATCCTAGTGCGGGTCAGTTCATGGGACATGATCATCTACATTCCCTTGCAAAGTTCCACCAGTCACCTGGGCTTGCACATGGATTTGAGCTGGTTTTGAAGCTAGCTGTCTCTCTGTCTCAGCCATTTCCTCTGACATCAAATCCACATCTGACCAATCAGGGTCCTGATTCTTGATTATTAATTCGTATCTCCTTCCTATTCTTGCAGGATCATCTCAGTACCCTTTAGCTATTTCTCTCCAGTTTTCTAAATCATTAGTGGAGAATGGGACCTTTCACCTTTGCTGACCCATTTGCACCCATTACTTCCCTTAAGGGAGCAAGGAGTTGTGCCTCCTTTTGGGTTTTACTCCAAGTGCACGTCATAACCGGCGTGGGGGCAGAGGCACTAGCTCCCCCTTTTTTCCTCCTCTCTGCTCCTTCTAACCCCGCCATTCTCGGTTAACAGGGCTGATACAGGGGATAGTGGAGAGACAGCAGGGAGAGGCAGGAAAGGCTGTACTGAATCCTCCAGTCGATCTTCCACCTCCTCCTGCCCTTGCCTGACAACTTTCAGCCATCGCTGCCCAATACTACACGCCGAACAACAGCTCCTTAGCTTTGATTTTCTTCCTTTTTTTTTTTTTTTTTTTTTTTGTGTGTGTGTATGTCCTAGGTTTTTGTGCCTTTTCCAAGGACAAAACAAGAGGGTTCTGAGGTGCAATACTAATTCCATATTCCTTCTGCCACTCTGGGTGGCTTCACAGAGTGAAAAACATACCAGCATACATCACTTCATACCAGTTTCTTGTCCCTTTGTAAAATCAACATTAATGGTAGGAGGGTATTATAATTTAAAGACCCATTAAGGGGCCATTTTTCCTGATCTTCCAGTTTATGTGGGGGCCACCACTGATTACAATATTTAATTAGAATTTTCTTATTTACATTGCTTCCTGATGGCCCCCCTATTTCATTCCAATGTGCCAGAATACGTCTTAAGGGAATTTTCTTTAGAATGCCTTCACTCTGATTTGCGCCCATTTTATGACGCTAATGACTGATATAAATCAACTAGAAAGAATACTGGGGGTGGGGGGGGGTGGAGGGGGCATGAAGGGAGAGGGAAAGTGTGGGGGACCTCAGCTGGACTGAGGCCCTGGGAAGGGATGACTTTGACCTTGAAAGGATTCCAATCTACCCCTGAGAGAGCAAACAAGAACAAGAGGAGCTGCAAGATGAGCAAGCTTATCAACTGCAGTAAGAGAGCATAACAACTCTGAACCAATAAGAAAAGAGACATATCGGAAAAACTGATAACCCCGTACTTGGAGCTAGTTTTAGGTGGATAGAGATACCGGAAAGCTTGGAGCGTGAAATTTTGAACTTTTCATCTTACTACGTTTGCGTGATGAGCTTATGCATATTAACTTCTCCGCCCTGGCAAGAGCCAGGGTTCATTTCCATGAACATGCGATGTATGAACACATACATGAAGGGGCGTGTCAGTAGGCGGTCTGGAAAGTCTGTCCACCCTGTAGTAAAAGTATAAAGGAACAAAGGACGAGAGTAATAAAGGATTTTTACGGGTCTTTTACCCAGAAGACCAGTCCCAATACCAGAAAACACCAGAATACCAGAAAAATCTGAAATATGAAAGAATACATTATTGCTCAGGTGGTCCTTGTCTGCCCCTGCAACAATCTGAATGAGATGAGGAGTCTGTCCAAGAGAAATCTCCAGGGGTACCCTAGGGAGTCATTCTCTCAACGGGTTGAGCAGCTGGTCAGAGACTGTCCCATCTGGGGTAACAAAATGAGCTGAGAATTCAGTCTCAATAGCCGTAGTAGCCATTAAGCGATATTCTTTATTCGACACGTTGGATGCATAGGGGATCATTCCTCCTAATATGCATGTCACTGAACTGGAGTTTATGATATTTATACACAATTCGCTTACATAGTCACGTAATTTCCAAGAATTGATTATCATATTCATTACTCTTCCGAGAAATCATTATAATATGTTGCTGCCCACTTCCGCATGCACACTACAGTCTCTAGGTGGTCTTCTAGGACCCCTGGTGGTCGTTTACTTCATTCTCATCTTCATCACAGTGTCCTTTCTGTGAACTTGGTTCTGTCTTCCCCTTTCCCTTACAGCTGAGACCACAAAACCAGTTGCATCTGGTAGTTCTGCAAGCCTCAGCGTCCTTCTACCATTACCTTGTTTTTCCTAGATAGGAGTGCAACTAAATCGTGTAAGCACACAGGCTCCATCTGTGGAGATGCTCAGAATGCAACCTGAAATGGTTCTCAGCAACCTGCTGTAGCTGCCCCTTCTTTGAGCAGTATTTGGACTAGGTGATGTCCAAAGGTCCCTTCCAACTCCAACTGTTTTGTGATCCTGTGATTCCGTAATGTCTGGCAGTGTTTCTGAGAACTTTTCTGTGGTATCCCCAAACCAGTTTGAGTCCTGGTGTCCATGGAGCGGAGCAGAGCATCCTTCTGAGGATGAACCCATTCACCATGTAACCCTGAGGATTTACTGAACCAGGGATTACAAATGCCAGCAAAGCCTCAGCACACTGCAGTGTCTGCTGGCCACACCTCCACTGACCAGTCC